TAGTGAAGTTCTCTCCTGACTTTGAAAGGTAAATTACAGTTAAAATTTGCTACAGCAAGCAGTTTCTAAGGGATATCTTTTTGTAATTTGATTGTCCAAATGTTATTGGAAATTGTTTCCAATATTTCCATATCTTTTTGTATTATAAATTTATTGACCTACATTTGTAAGTGGGTCGCATTAATTCAGATTATTAAAATTATTCAGATAAAGTGGTTGCAAATTAGCTATAATAAAGCCGTGCTTGTACTCGTGAGTTGGAATGGGGTACAAGTAAAATACAGGCATTGGCTTATGCAGTTATCTCTAGCATGTGAGAGATACGGGGGGCAATCGAAGCTATAGTACTAGAAGGCTGTTGTTGTTAAATACCATTAATATTCTAAAGGATGAAAATAACAGACTCAGCCCACACAAATTCTAATTCAGGATATGATGGCAAAGTCAGACAAGCAGCATTCAAAAAGATCCTCAGTTCCTGGAATTAGATACCAGATTATATGAAAACTCAACGTAAGAACCTGACAGTGAGAAATAGAATGAGAAAGAAGCCAAATTGCCAAGTATCCCTACAAAAGTCAGCACTCTAATAGGGAAGGAGTTAGACACTGAGAATTGAGATTTAAAAGATCAATCTGGTTATGTTTGAGATAGTCTAGTTCCCCTAAAGCTACTGAGCCTGCAGAAGTGGCCCTCTCCCCACTGCTGGAAGAGAGGAGCCTTCCTTTGCCTAGAGAATGTAAAGAGGACTCACTGAGTCAGATTTTTCATAAGAAAAAAAAAAGTGTTTTTTTCTCAAGGTCTAGCTCACCTCCCTTCATGGCCTTTAGATTTAATAACCAGAGGCAATGCTCGGAATGGTATGGCCTGATGACTAAGGAGAACGGGCCCTATTAGTCACCAGAATTATTATAGGGATTGACTGATAAGTACCAGTCAGAAGTGGGAAAGCTTGTGGGGTTATACATTTTGAGGGTAATGTGCTTAGGATGGAAGAAACATAAAGCTGGATAAGGAAGAATTTACTGATGAGGAAGAACTCCAGTGACTCAGAAATTACCTTGTAGGCAAGGTACCAGGAGCTGATTCTAATGCACTATTGGGATGTCCCCTTGAATCCCTGGAAAAACCAGCAGCCTACAGTAGGCGGGTAGAGCTACCATTATTGCCATGGTTGAATGTTGAAGGAGAGGTCTAAATGCTTACAGACATAGGGATATTTGAAAGGACTTATGATGTAAGACTAGAGAAGGTAACAGGTGACTATGTTCCTTCCACTAAAGCAATATAGGAAAGGACTATGGCAGGGACTTCAGCTTGGTGAGAAGCTCAGTGATATGAGTTGTCGTTATGAATCTAGGCTTCCCAAAGTCAATGGGGATTATAAAGTTCTAGAACACGTGAATCTAGAAATGAATGCCACCACCAAAGACATAAAGGATGCAGTGGCGGTAGTAACTATTATCTGTTTCATTCAGCAGTGTCGTTTCTCCAGAAACCAGATGTCTCTTAGAGAATGACTGTGAACTGCTTCAAGTTCAACCAAGTACTAGCCCTACAGCAGTGCCATGTACATGGGATCATTTATAAGGCCTCCGGTACATGACGTGCAGTGGATGGTTTGGGGAATGTGTTATTTTCTATTCTGATTAGAAAAGAGCATCAGAAACCATTTACATTAATGTGAGATGAACAACAATATTCATTTACAATATTTCCTCAAGGCTTTATTAACTCTCCTGCCCTCCTTAATATATTCTACAGATATCTGGGCCCCTAGGATAGCTGGCCCCCATCCATTACTCTGAGTGTAGCATCCACTACACTGATAACATCATACTGATAGAGCAGGTTACACAGGCAGTTGCTAGAACATTAGAGGTGTTATGCCAGAGGGTGAGAGATAAACCCTAATAAGATTCAAGATCTTGACCCTTTCGGTAAGTTTTCACAGGTCCTGTGAGTGTGGGCATGCTAGAACACGCCCGCCCCCCCCACCACAGACACACACACACACAAGGTACAATTCATGGAGAAAGAATCAGAATGTCCTAATAGGCTGCTTTGGGTTTTGGAAGAATATTTCTCCAGCCCATATACCCAATGACATGGAAGGCTGCCAGCACTTATGGATGCAGAGCAGGGAGGGCTCTACAGCAGGTCCCAGACGAAGTACAAGCAGTCCTGCCACTAGGCCACGTGATGCAACAGACTCTATGATGCAAGTTGTAGTAGCAGGAAAACAAGCAGTATGGAGCTTCTTGCAAGCCTCCGTGAGAGAATGATGCAGGTGCTGGGTTACAGGAGCAATTCTATGCCATCTGAAGTAAAGAATGTCCTGGCTTTTGAGAAAAATCTTTTCTACCTCCAATACCACTCTTAATGAAGTAATCTAAGTCAGGATGTTGTTGATTATCCTTCATATTTCTCCCTATGCTCATTTACATGTGCATTTACATGCATATTTCATTCATTCCATAGATTTTCCTTTTTTCTTAAATATTAGTACTGCACATTGATCTTCAACTTGGTCTTTTTTCACCAACAGTGACAGTATACAATAGTTCTCTCCAGGTCAGTCCATGATTACTTAATTCAGTGTTTTTATTTACTGCAAAACATTTCACAGAAAAAAAAAAGTACTTTTCTTCGAATGATAGATCTTCAAGTCATTTCTGTTCTTTTTCTTTGCCACTACACATTATGCTGAAATATGTGTTATCTTCTGCATTGGCATTTATATTTCTGTAGTCTAGATTTCTAAAGGAGGGATTTTTAGGTCAAATACCACATACATTTTAAATAGAAACTACCAAGTTATTTTGTAGAAATGGGGTGATTCATCCTATCATCAGGAAAAATAACAGTGTGCATCATCAAACAGGAACTTCGCCATCATTGAAAACTTTTAACGTTTTATCTGCTGTGAAAGGCACTGCATTGCATTTCCATTTAATTTCATTTACTTGACCAATAATGATGCTGAACATTTTTCCATACATTTTCTGGCAATTTGCATTCCCGTTTCTGCGAACTGCCAATTCATTTGTCCATTTATTCACTGTTTTTATTTTTATTGTAAATTTTGGAATATTCTTTGAATAGGGAATAAGGAATATTATCATATTGTTTGGCACATCTGAACAAATTTTTCTCTCATTTTATTGCTTGTCTTTTAATACTGTTCTTGGTGCTTTGATTTTTCCATAATAACTTTTAGTTTTATAGTTTTAATTAAATAGTATTCATGTACCCATGATTGTACATTTACCCAAGTTTTCTTTCAGTATATTTGCACATTTATATTCTCAATTCATCTTAATATTTTGAAACCACATGATGTCACAGTGAACAAGACTAAGGCAGGAAAATATTTAAGAACTACTCCTTTTTTTTTCAAATAACCTAGCAGAGCCAGGACTTACCTGCAGTTTCTGATTTCCACTCCAATATTCGGTGCATTCTGTACCAACATCTGTGGTGCAGCACACATAGAATTCTATTCTAACTACCTATTAGAAATTTTTTTCTTTCAAACTTCCTCTTGAATGCATCTTTCACCTCCTTGTTTCTCAAGCTGTAGATAGGAGGGTTCAGCATGGGGATGACCACAGTATAAAATAGAGAAATCACTTTATTGATATCTAAGAAGGAACCTGAGTCAGGCACAACATAGATATAGAAAAGAGTCCCATACAGGATGGAGACAGCTGCCAGGTGAGAAGAACAAGTGGAGAAAGCCTTCCTCCTCCCATCAGCAGTCTGGATCTTCATGATGGCCACCAGGATGCACACATAGGAGATGGTAATGATTAGGCCACTGAGGACTCCTATAGGAACTGTGTGAGTCATTGTACTTATAAGAGCCATGGCATAGGGCCCTGCCACCAGCTGCACACAGACCTTCTGGGACATAATGAGGGTATACAACAAAGGCTTACAGATGGCCATGTACCGTCCACAGAAAGGTAAGCAAAAAGTGAGAACTGTATGGGTCATTGTACTTATAAGAGCCATAGCATAGGGCCCTGCCACCAGCTGCACACAGACCCTCTGGGACATAATGAGGGTATACAACAAAGGCTTACAGATGGCCATGTACCGGTCATAGGCCATGGAAGCCAGGAGGAAGCATTCAGTTGCCACAAAAAGACCAAAAAACCACATCTGTGCAGCACAACCCATGAAAGAGATGCCTTTTTTCTCTGCAAAGATATCACACAGTGTCTTGGGGGCAATGGAGGAAGAGGAACAAATATCTACAAAGGACAAGTGGCTGAGGAAAAAGTACATGGGTGTGTGGAGCCTGGGATCGATCCATATGAGAGTGATCATCCCCAAGTTACCCCCCAGTGTGACCAGATAGATGAAGAGAAGCATGACAAAAAGGCCAACCTGCTGATGGAGACGATCTGTGAGGCCCACGAAAAGAAATCCAGTCACTGCAGTCTGATTCTTGTCTGCCATTGGTCATTTACAATCTGCTATAAAAAAGAAAAGCATTTTCATTATAAAAAATATATCATTCACAGTCACAAATAATATTTTAACCTAATGACATATTAGCTAATCAGATCTATAACATACAATTATTGAAACGTTGTTGAACTGGAAGACAATAATAATTCTAGAAACTAGGTCTGGACAGTGGTGCAAAAATCTTGCACATTCTTGGGCTATTTACCCTTGATCTCTTTGGATTTCATACTCTCTCTCATAAAAAGAGTCCAACTATCTAAAACTCCTTCAAGTTATAAAATTATATTTTAGATGAGAATTATTCTTTATGATTCTAGATGGAATAGTAAAATCCACTCAAGAATACCCTCACTGGGAGTACTGTAAGAGCCAAAGAACTATTCAGATCCTAACATCAGCCATTGGGAAAGACTAAGCAGGGAAATTTTTGTTCTTACTGAATATTCAGTGCCATTCTAACATTATCAACACACAATTTACAGAGGTGTGCATCAATCTATTTCCTACTACTATTTATAAAAGGATGTGGAGATGATAACACACAAATGACAAAAGGGTTATTCATATAAGGGACTGTGATGTGTGAAGAAATTAAGAGGTTCCACCTTTGAGATCAAATGATAAATGTTGGACAGCAGGTTGTCATGGAAACTGCATAGAAAATAAAGCATCTGTTGCACCAAAATAATGTAAAATTATTTTATGTGATTTCTCATATTTCTATAAACGTCTTTTAAGGCACTTATCCTGAAATCTGGCAGGCAATGTCAATTATAATAATGAAATATGTAAAATATCAAATGCATAATATTTTATGCAGGGAACATTCTCAAGAAAGTATTATTTTCTGACTAATTAGTCAAAGAGAAAACTGTCGAAAAATTATAGAAAAAGAACACTATGTAGGATAATTTATATGAAAAAAAATCTGATTTTAAGTAACATTTATTATCACTTTAATTAATGTCCTCTTTGGATAAAATGGAACAATAGAGTACTCTTGAATTATACAATAATTACATGTGGAGCTTGACATAGTGATGCTATCTATTCTATTTATGATTATTTCATTATTATCATGATCATTTGCTTCGTGCTATGTGGAGTATATTTTCAGCAGTCACAAAGACAATTCCCGGTTTATATTAGGAGCATCACCTATTGCATGAATTTTTTGTTTATGCCCATCCAGCACGTGTGAGGATAGGGGGGTGTACAGACTGCTTCTGGTTTCTTTCTTTCTCTTCCTCCCTTTCTTTTTTTCTTTCCATCTTCTTTTCTTCTTTCCATCCCTCATTCCGTCCTTTCTTCCTTTCTGATTTATATATTTATTTATTTGAATATAAGTCATTTTGAATCTTCTTTAAAACAAAGAGGAGGATCTCTCTAGCCCTTTCATACCTAACATTCTGTGACCTCACAGACATTGCCGTATCTCTATATTATAAAGAAATAAACAGGAAGTTCAGTTCAGAAAAAGTCACACAAACCAGCTCTTTAGTCTCATGAGGTTGTGAACAAAATACCAAGATCTGCTCTCTTTAGAGAGCCTGGCGTGGGAAGGTTATATTCCTAGAATTCACCGCATGTTTCTCCACCATACTTCAAAAATATCACATTATCCAAAAACAGTGTACTCACTTCTTTTTTTTTAAGTTAAATGTATTGGGTTGACATTGTTTAGTAAAATTACAAAATGTTTCAAGTGTATATTTTTATGCCGCATCATCAGTATATTGCATGTGTGCCCACCAGCCAAAGTCAAATCACCTTCCATCACCATGTATTTGACCCCCTTTACTACCACCTGACTCCTCTTCCCTCTGGTAACCACCAGACTATTGTCTGTGTCTATGTGTTTCAGTTTTATATCCCACATATGTACTCACTTCTTTAAGGATATCCTTTACGTATCTTCATTAACTGCTTTAAATTTTCTGGAAGTAAGAGTGGAACAGTCAACTCCCCTCATGGCAGTAGCCTTTGAGAGCATGACTTTCTAGGCACTTGGTGAAGGAGGCAAAGGCCCCATCTTAAAGGGGCTGGGAGTTAAGAGAACTGCACATTCATTCACCAACTTCCCAGAATAAGGGACATTTTCTTAGGAGTTTTCAATAATTTAGAGCCAGGTCCCCAAAGAACAAAAACCTCAAGAGTTTACACCTGAAGGGACAAAATTAAAATGATCTCAGTGGCATTTGGACCAAGTATTATTTCTAAACTGTATTTTTTCTTAAAGAGAATTGTTTAAAAACAACAACAATGTAGGGTTTCTTTTACCCTTTGGGATCCTTCTTTGCCAAAAGGGAGCCCTCTTTTCTATCAGTGGGGAATGACTCTTTGAGCAGCCAGAACGAGCTGGGATGAAGTAATTTACTGCCTGGATTCTGGAGCTACATTTCCTTGGTGTAAAATCTCAACCCATAGTTTGCTAATTGTGTCACTTTGAGCAAGCTTCTACAGCTCTCTGTGCCTCATTCTCTTAACCTCTAAAATAAAGAAAGCAGTGGTTTCTAGCTCGCAGAGATGTTGGGAGGGTTTAATGAAATAATAGATTTAAAGTACTTACAACAAAATATCCAGCACAGAATCAGTGCTCATTGGTGTAATTTATTATTGTTAAAGATCTATAGGGTAGCTGGGGAGATATCTAGACATAAAAATAAGACAGCAGCCCAAAGTAGCATTTGCTTATTTCTAGGCAAACATAATAACCAGTCACTGGACTCCAAAACTGGAATAGCTGAGAAAATTTTCAAAGAAAGAATTGGTCTGGAAAAACAAAATTTAGATAACTAAAGGTAAGAGGAAAGGCATTTCAAGCAATGCTAATGAGATGAACAGAAGCAAGAGGCTGAAAAGAGAAGCTAGGAAGTTGTTTGGGATGGAAGGATCACACAAGAGAAAAGAAGGTGTATAGTCTGATGGCATAGGTTGAACTATCTCATCACTCCCTTCTTAAGAACCTGATTGCTTATTCCATCCAGGAGAGCAGATATCTCATCTATCAACTTCCATAATATTTCAGAGGACCTCATTTTTAACTCCCATTAAGTATCCACCTTAGAAGATTGTCAATAATTGGTGTTGTATTAGTATTTGTTTAATTAATGGAAGGTAACCCTCAAATGTATAATTGATATGGTTCATAATTTAGCAATTAGAATCATGTTATATACAAGGGGAAAGTATTTCTATGTGTTACTCTTTTTAAAAAGCAATAAGAAAAACATTTTTTTAAAAAAGAAATGACATTTTTTTAAAGCTAAAAAGAAAAGGTAATGTGGAAAATAACAGAAAAAAGTACCCTAGTCACAGATAATTACAGAAAAATCTTTTTATTACATTTTTTTAAATAAAAGCATCCATTCTGTGGAATAGCAAGGTTGGGGGTGGGGGGAGTAACAAAAGCATATCAGGTGATGGGAAGTAAGCTGGCTGAACCCAGGACAGAAAATGAGAATTGTTAGTCACATGACACAAAACAAAAACAAGAGCATAGGCACTACTTAAAATAACCATGGACATTAAAGAAATCTTTGAGAAAAATTTAAAAATAAACTACAATTTCAAAATGTTCAGAGAGGACATGATAAATAAGGCAGAAAGGAAGATCAAACATACAAATAACTGGCATATTTAAAGAAGAAAGATGGTAACATGTACATTTTTTCAAATTATAACAAGATGTTTACCTATGTAATAAAAGTAAACAGTATTTCTTAAGAAAAATAAGTAACTCATAGCTTATTCTAGTAAAGTGAATACCTCTTCTTAATTGAAGAGGAAAAAATTCAAACTGTTCTCAGAATTCTTCACAATGTTAATCCATACTACTTTGATTACAGTGAATGCTCAGATAGAACCAAGATCAGAAAACTGTAAGGATTATAGGAAATGGTGATATTACAATAGTGTTATAATCAATAATGATACAACTAATATAGTAATATAATCAACACAAGTAAAATGAAATAAGAGGAAAATTTATAGGTACTATTTGTCTGCTAATCTCCTCCTTTCACTGTAGAGAGTAAGTACTATATAAATGTAACCCAGTTTTTTATATATAAATGTATCTTAAGATTTAGGAAATTTTCCCATTAGGAGCATTAAAGATAATAATATAATCTACCAAGATCAGGCTATGGAAGAAGAATAAGAATAAATATCCTAATGGTTAACTCTTTTATACTGATACTAGAGGCCTGGTGCACGAATTCATGCACTGGTGGGGTCCCTCAGCCTGGCCAGCGGGGATCAGGCCAAAACTAGCTCTCTGACATCCCCCAAGAGGTCCCAGATTGCAAGAGGGTGGTTCTTGGGTGATGCAACCGGAATCAGGCTCCCTTCTCTCTAGTGCAGGTGCGTCACCGAACACAGCTGCCAAGTCGCTGCAGCTTGGCAGCTCCTGCGTTGAGCGTCTGCCCCCTGGTGGTCAGTGTACGTCATAGCTACTGGCCAGTCGGCCAATCACCGGTTAATTAGGCTATATAGATAGTTCTAAGGCAGTGGTTCTCAACCTTCCTAATACCGCGACCCTTTAATACAGTTCCTCATGTTGTGGTGACCCCCAATTTCATTTTTACAAATTGAACATAATTAAAGCATAGTGATTAATCACAAAAACAATATGTAATTATATATGTGTTTTCCGATGGTCTTAGGCAACCCTTGTGAAAGGGTCGTTCGACCCTCAAAGGGGTCGCGACCCACAGGTTGAGAACCGCTGTTCTAAGGTAATAATTTAAAAAATAGAAGTTTATTATATATAATTCTAAAGATTAACATCAAAAAAGATAAAAATGAATTATAAAAATTTTAAATTATCAGAAGAAATTCACCTACTTTACATATGCCCAAAACATTTTTTAAAATCACACCATGAAATAAAATATTTTTAAGACAAACATTAAAAGTAGAAAGCTTTAAATAATAGAATGGCACAGCTAAGACCAAATTTATTCATTGTTGCAAAAAATTAGAAA